ATAAATTAATAGTATGTAGAAAACTAATTATAAAAATAATATTAAATATATTTTAATCTGATAGAAGCTTCAATTATGTCAGTATTTTTGATGAAGGCAGAAAGTCCTGTAGAACTGCATTAAATCTGGTTTGATTCCAAAACTTGGAGTTCTCTACATCCATCTTAATTCCTCTCTACAAAACCACTTTCCTCTCTAAGAAACACATCTCATTTAAATTTACTGCCACAGCATTAACCAAGCAGTAACAAATACCTGAATATCCCCTGCCATTGTTTTACTGCATATTTAATTGATATTGATAAAAATAAATAATTCCCCTTGCCTTTTTCAACACATCCCCATCAATCCTGCTTCTAGAAGCACTGTCACACTCCCGCTCTTTTCCCCCACTTCTCTCCCAAAGGTGTGCCATGGGAAAAAGAACACACTCCATGTCAGAAGTCACAATGGTTGTCTCATTCATTTATAGACCTATTAATTTCAGTATCTCTCTCTCTCTTCCTTCACCTTTAAAAGAAAAGCTGTGATACCTGCTGAGGGACTGTAAAGCATTTTTACAACTTACTACTCCTGTACACAGTTCATGTATGCATTCTTGTACACAAAAGCAATTGAAGAACTAAACTGTTCACTACTTCATACCAAGACACATGACCAAAAAGACACTCCTTGACACCTTGAAACTCAGCAATACCAAATTCCATAGGAAAACAGCATTCATATGCATTACAATCTCATCACTTGTGTTTTCTCAGAAGGAACTACCTCATGATCTGCATGGCTCTGGGAATCCCCTTTATTAATGCTTGCATCTCGGGCCCACCGTGGAGGTTTCCAGGTTCGTTCCTGTGATCCTCTGTTGTAGTAATAACAGCGTCCTGTCGTATCTTTATGGGTTTCCCATTCCCCATTTATTTGGACTGGAGCACTTGTAGGTAGTGGTGGAAGTGCAGACTGAGATATTTTCAGTTCTTGTAAATTAGCATAAACTGGTGAATCAGGCCTCCCTTGGCTTGGTGGAGTAGTTGGCTATTGAGAGAAGAAATGTATTGTTAAAGAGCAAATGAATTTTAGAATGCTCCCTTACAAATCAGAACATATTACAGTAGTAAAACAAACCAACAAACTCCCTTTTCTGTTGTTAAGTACAAAAGCACAAAGGACAGCCACAAGATGCTGGGGTGGGAAAACATTAGGTTGTTAACCATAAGGTAGATATCACAAGCTATATTTATTTAATACTGGAGCATTTCTCCAGATGACAGCTGATAATTATGTTTTACAGCGCATTTGAAATACACTGGAATCATCATCAAAATAATTATATGCTTGCCTTGTTGAAAAACTTCAGCTTTGCAGTTCAAGTATTGCTGAGGAACTGTAAGTAATGCAATCTTGTTCAAGACAAAACGTAGCATTTCTGAGATGCCACTTGTTAGGCAAAGATGGTTCCCCAAACTTTCCCCCTCACTGCTAATACAGATCATAGAATCATAGAATGGTTTGGGTTGGAAGGGACCTCAAAGATCATCTAGTCCCAACCCCCCTGCCATGGGCAGGGACACCCTCCACTAGACCACGTTGCCCAAAGCCCCATCCAACCTGGCCTTGAACACTTCCAGGGATGGGGCATCCACAGCTTCTCTGGGCAACCTGTTCCAGTGCCTCACCACCCTCACAGAGAAGAATTTCTTCTTAATATCTAATCCAAATGTACCTTCCTTCAGCTTAAACCCATTACCCCTTGTCCTATCACTCCATGCCCTTGTAAACAGTCCCTCCCCAGCTTTCCTGTAGGCCCCTTTAGGTACTGGAAGGCTGCTGTAAGGTGTCCCTGGAGCCTTCTCTTCTCCAGGCTGAACAACCCCAACTCTCTCAGCCTGTCTTCATAGGAGAGGTGCTCCAGCCCTCTGATCATCTTTGTGGCCCTCCTCTGGACTCGCTCCAACAGGTCTGTATCTGTCTTACATTCACTATCACCAGCTCTAGGTCCCCCAACATAAAGCAGCATTTTCATTTTCTCAACAGACAGATCAATTGGAAAGACAAGTACAATGTTGTGACAAAAACTCTGGGAAACACCTGCATGGTTTACCTGTATGCCTTTCCAAACTTTAAAATAAAGTTTTTTTATTTATTTTAGGCAGTATCACCAAGTGTTCTGATTACCACTCTCTTCTTACAGAAATTAAGTGGATACTCTTATCCACCTAATTTTATTCATATACATGCACACAAGCAGAACAAACATCTACAAGGAAACAAAACACTAATGGCAATATCTCATAAACAGTTTGCTACCATGAAGGCCAGCAGAAAGCATGATTAAAAGTCCATTGCACTCACTGAAACCATGAGTACTTCCAAATAAGAGACTAAAGCATTTAGGAGAGAAATAGACTTTCAGATGTTCAATTTTTAAACTATAATACAAGTATATAAAACACACCATGCAGAATATAAAAGCATGCGTTTTCACGAGAGCTATGATTATGAGATTGTAAAAGCAGCTAGTTATTAAACCAAACTGAATAGTTTCCTGGTAATGCGCTGCTATCTCTGTATTTTAGGGCACATTATTTAGGCACTCTAAAGAAAGGCACTATGTAATTTATATCATCCCTTCCCCCTACTTGGTTTTAATTCAGAAGCTTTGCTGCAGGCAAATCCTTGTGCCTCCTCTTTTTGCTTCTTTCACAGGAAAAAATAACATATTGCGTTACATAAAAGATCTTTTATAATGTACTTTTAAACATTAAAATCATAAACTGCTAATCTAGGCCACATCTAATCATAAATTATCAGGGTTTGCTCAGGCAAGACAGCATATGATACCACACAATCAGTTATAAACTGATTGCACCATAGCTGGAACCAAATATGGGCAATATCCACAACCAAAAGGGGAAACAGCTAGAGGGGAGCTTAATAAGATTAAAACGGGCAGGGACTTGTTTTGTGCGCCTTTAAAGGGAAAACACAGCTTGCTAGATATAGCAAGTACAGAATGTTTAAGGCAAACCACAAGGGGAAAAAATCCAGCACAGGCAAAATCAGAGCGCCAAAACCAATTAGTATTCTCCTCTACCTATTCAAAGGGAAAAAAAAAATCTGTCACAAAACTTGATGAACAGTAAAAGAACTATTTTTCTACTGCCCAAGTCCTCCCCTCCCCCCTCTGCTTTTTTTTTTTTTTTTTTTTTGAGGAGGAGGAGGGTAGAATGGCTGCCTTTGGTAGAGCTGCTCTTGAAAGCACTAACAGCATGAAGAATGCTACTATGAACAAAGCATCACCTCGCTGTCTTCAGGGATAAACCTTGATTCCCCGGGATGCCAGGAGAGTAACCTTGAGGTCTCCCCATTCAAGAGTGCAGTTTCTGCGTTCATTTCTCCAGTCGGCCCCCAGAGTTGCATTCCCCACGTAAACCGTCCTGCCATTAAACCACCGGATGCTACTAGGAACAAAGCATCACCTCTTCAGGGATAAACCTTGATTCCCCGGGATGCCAGGAGAGTAACCTTGAGGTCTCCCCATTCAAGAGTGCAGTTTCTGCGTTCATTTCTCCAGTCGGCCCCCAGAGTTGCATTCCCCACGTAAACCGTCCTGCCATTAAACCACCGGGCTTGTTATTTGAAGCAACAACATACACCTGCACTGAGGAACGCGCAAACCTTCAGGTTCTTCCTCTATTTCAAGGAAGTGGCAAAAGCAGCACCATCAAGCCTGGCTGCTGCGGCGGGAGGTCGGTGGCTTGCACAACGCTCCCGTCCTCCTGAAATTGCTCTTCCACACAAGACAACAAGGCGGCTTTACTGTCTGGCCTGCACTTGCCGCTTGCTTTTTTGTTTTAATTAAGACAACGAAGTGCCATTATTAGAAGAACACTTCTGTGTATTAATAAAAGTGTTTTCCAAATAGAAAGCCTTAGAGAATGCTAAGTATAGTTTTTGGAGCATTCTCTCAAGAAACACATAGGAATATGGCTCAGAGGTTTCACAATGGAGGTTTTCAATGGTTCCAGCATTGTAACTGGAACAACTCCAGAAGAAACTGCAGGACATGTATGTGCCAAGCCAATACTGGGAGTTCACAGCCAACGTACTGCCACATAACTTGGGCAGCATACTAGTTAAGTTTAAAACATTAACATGAGACAAAAGCATAATGAGGGGTTTTCTTCTGAACGTTTAGTACTTCCAAACTCAATATACAGATTTCTGGTTTTCAAGGGAAAGCAACAAGCTAGACAGCTAACTGTCCTGCCAACCAAGCCTCCAGCTACTTTCCCTGCTGGCTGGCTCTTCTGACAGATTTTTTGGGGAGAATTGCAAGATTTTTGAAAGGCACCTGTAAGTTACTGCTTTCAGCAAAGCATAAAAAAAATGCAAAGCCATCAAACTACAATACACAGCTTAGTCGTAAGTATGTCTTTGAGGGATAAAACTTTCTTATCAGGAACTATTTTAAATAACCACACGGCATACAATGCTACTTCCTCATACCTCGAGCCACGCGGCAAGGTATGTTGTTGTGTCTACAAGAGTGCTCAGTTCAACAGCACCCAACCTTATCAAGGCTAATTTTCTGAACAATTTCTCATTTATTGATGAGTAAAACTGCTTTTAGAAAGCTCAAAGTTTCCCCGAAATTAACTTTTGTGTACTTTCTACGTCAGTGTTGGCAGGAAGATCAGTCCTCTGCCCCCAGCCTGGGAGGGGTGTCCTGCAGAGGCAGGTCCCACTAGATGTCCCTGTAGAGCTCCCGGGCCCTGCACCACGTCGCTGTTTCTTCTAAGGTGACTGCTTTAAGTTCAAGACTGTGTTCTGCAAAAACCTTTAATAGTTTCAAGCCAAAAAGCATATTAATTTAAGTGTATTCTTTTCACTTACCAAACCCATTACTCATTACCAATGTATAAATCCAAACAGATAAAACATTACCTAGATCAAAATAGCTTCTGATCACTTCCATGGCTGTTTTCTCAAAACCAGACATACACAGTAAAGGGAAACTTAAATATATGCTAAACACTAAACAGCTCTTCCAGCTAGAACTTTACTCCCTGAGCTTCATTTTTGCACTAACAAGCTCCAAATGCTCATAAACATGGAATTAAATCTACCAAAAGAGATTCCTTGTCTTCCCACTATCAGAATCACAAGAACACGTCCTTCAACATGCCCATGCACGCACACACAGAATGCCTCATATTCAAAATATTTCAATATTCATTTGCTATTTGATATGGGTTTCAGACTTTTTCATGCTGCTTTCTCCTGCTAAGAACAGTGGAGCGTTCTTGCTAGAAAAGTGATCAAGATCAGGAAAAAAAAAAAACCACAAAAAACTTCTACGCTGCTACAACTTGAAAAAAAATTGTACAGCCCATTAAGCACTATGACAACTTTATGAATATAAGGACTTCTCCCTGAGCTCAGTAACACTCTGTATTTTAATACTTTAGAATTCTTACTTTAGAAGTTCAGTCTCACAGAAAAGTCTGCTAGCACAAAATCCTTGCAAACTGGTAAGGAAGAGTTTCATGCAGGCAGTACAAAGTTTCTGGGATTAACACACAACATTCTTCACATAGGGACTGTACACACAGCTTTTTCAGAGCATGTTTTTTATACTGACACAGTAGGAAGCAGATATGTACCTTTAAAAAAACCAACCTGTTAATCATTCATGAATGAACAGTCAACATTTTCAACACAGGCCGCAGATATGCTATCAGGCCTCTGAACACTTGAACTCGGTGCAATGAAAAGCAAACTTAATATACTTCACAAGGCATTTTTCATTACCAAAATGTGTATCAACTTCTCAGAGGACACCTGAAATTTTAATGTTACCTTATACAAATGGCTTTTTTCAGATGGCAGTATTTAAAGTGTTCAAAATTAAAGCAAACTTAAAGTTCACTGCACTCCAACAGAGTAAGCCTGCAGCTCTGGGAGAAACAAGGACTACAGATCTCTTCCCTATCCATCACTTAAAAAATGCTTTTGGTTTATTTCCATGCAAT